ATATTATCAACACTAACATTAACATATATTATGAGTGTTGAAAACAGTTGCGTTGTTTAATTTTTGTGAAAACAGTAATGCTTTTTTCAGTTCAGAAGAACAGCATTTATTTGAAATGTTTTTTGTAACATTATAAATGTCCTTACTTTCACTTTTAATTAATTCAATGCATCCTTGCACAATAAAAGTATCAATTTCTTTAAAAAAGACCCATACTATACTGACCCAAAACTTTTGAACAGTAGTGTATACCAAAACCTGAATTTACAGCTGACGCAAGCTGCCCACAAACACTGGCCTAAAGGACAACTGACAGCAAATCAGTCCAGATAGCCCCTTTACTATCTCAGGACAACAAATCATGCTCTTAGCCTCTTATTATCTTGGCACCTCGGGCCATGACAGGATATTTTTAGAAGCAGGTTCCCAACAGTGGCGGAAATGGCTCCCTGACTGATACCCGTGAGCAGATGCCTTCACAGACGCTTACCGACGGGGGTGAAGGGTCTTTGGGTGAGAATGGACGGTGTCCACTGTGGCACGGGCTGCCTGCAGAGTTTAGTTTCAATTCACCCCAGACAAACTAATCAGACTCACCTGGAAAAGTATAAGGTGGCAGGGTTAGAACTAGATCTTTAGATCCTGATTGTCTTTAGCCAGGATATGAATTTTCAAACCAAACTGACCTTGAAGGAACATAAGAATGAAACAATACCATCTTATATATTTTCTAAAAATAATAGGTAAACTGCAAATGGCAAGTTCTTCAAAAGGAAATCATCACTTCTAGCACTTGTTACATATTCATGAAATAAGACAGAACATCTAACTTTGGTGAGTGTGCATAAACTCATTCTCATTAAAAGTCTATATACCTTCCGACTGGCCAGCCTCAACTGGTTCTTCGTTATTCAAAGATTAAAGGAAGCTGGAGTGCCAATTAAAGTCATTCTTCCTCAGTGTAAGCCTGAGGTAAAGACAGCGTACCAGGACTGTTTGAAATGCCAGCTGCACACTTCAACACAAATGAGACTCCAAGGACTCCTCTGTCAAAGTACCTGAGCTAGAGGCTGGGAGGTGCTGAGGATACAGCTTTCGCATTAAACGCGACACATGCAGGCCAATTTATTCTGTGGTGTCCCTTTTGTCCCATAAATGTCCCATCATAATGAAACTGCAAGGGTCAGCAGTTTAAGCTGAGCATTAAAGGGACCAGATATTGAAAATAGGCATTTTACTTGCTCTTTTGAAATAAACGAGTTCAGTGCACCATTTGGACACTAAACTGCCTTTCAAGACCTTGAATACTAAAGGCTGTGATATACTTGTTATATACTTGAGGCTAAGTTCTTTTTCGTTCTTTGCTTAGGGGTAAAAAGAAGTTTAAAATACAATGCCGCATTATTAGTGAACATATTAGCGCATTTTACTTTCACGTTCGAATTAGCGGCAGTTCGGCGTCAATTGCTTGAATGCAACAACAAAATACAACGTCAAACTCACTTTAGCCTTCACCGTCAACACCGTCTATCGCGGCAAGCCTAGAAAACAGCAGTTAAGAAAGCATCTGATAATGGCGATGTGGATATGCTTGAATGAGCTCTGCCATTCACACTGCAGTCAAGTCATGTGGTGTTTATTAACACTTTATACAATGGATTGCTTTAAAGCAAACAGCTTTACATGGCTAAATATGAAAAAACAGCGTATGTGTCACTTTTAATTAGAACTACAACTTAAATTTCTACTATTAAGCAGCTCTGCAGTGCATTCATGTTTTCACTCATGTCTGACCTTAACGGATTGAACAGATGAAATAAACCAGAGAAGATTTCCATGTCAAAGAAGGCGGAGCCTCAGACCACACCTACCCATTACATACAGTTATTGCTATACAGACCAATGGTAGTTTGAAGGTGTTTACCAGCTAGAGAGAACATTCCAGAAATTTCGCATTGGCCATTTCAAACTCCCAAAACAAACTCCAAACAAATTTCATTTTGGCCTGTTTTTGTTTGAAATGGCGTGACACCAGTTTGTTCATCGTTTTTTCTTGTATTGAGGTATATCAGCTTTAGCTGCAAAAACAGGCCAATCCAAAACTGTCACGGTTATGATGTCAGACAGTCTTAATGGTACATTAGCAAAAACAACCTGTTTAAATCTAAGGATCAGAGAAGAGTGGAAAATAGTCATGTAACATTAAATCATAAAGTTCATTACAATACATGGCCTTTGAGGGAAAAAAAGTAAAATACTCCAAAAATGTCCAATGTGTCAATTAACATGGCTTTTACATGAGTCGTAAAAGGAATAATTCACCCAAAAATAGTCGCCAATCCAAATCCATACACTGAATTAAAAAATAAGACAAATCTTTTCACAACAATACTATTACATGACTTTAGAAGACTTGGAATATGGTGCACAGGTCATATGGACTGAATTATTGGTGTTTTTGGAACTTTTTGAATGGAAAGACCAAATCGAGTGAGAGTGAAAGATTTCCTGCAGATTTCGCGTCATTGACCAACAATACGTTTCTTATGCCTTGTCCAAATACCCACACTTTCGGTCTTGGCCACTTGAGAGCGCGTGCGCGCGACAGGAAGTAAGTGCGCAAGACTGTCCCAGGTCTTAAAAATGGCAAGGCACAGTGCCCTTAACGCACACTATCTCGAATACCCCTCCAGAGTGCTATTCGAGGCTTAGTGTATCCCATCATGCACGGTCACGGAAACCTTTCCAATGTAAGTTAAATATTAATATAATAATTAGATATTACATATAATTTGGTAGAAAAACAGTGTTTTTACGTTTTATTGGTGCAAAGATTAAAGTTGCAACTGCATTTTATCACTTAATTAGAAGCACCACAAATTAAAATGATGTCATAGGGACTTCTGAACAGACGTTGATTTTAAAATGCAAAGTATTTAAAATTAAAATAAAGCTATGTAAACACTTGCATTTTTACATCACTATAAGTGTGTCCCATCAGGTAATGAAAAGTTGTACACACACTTGTGGTCTTCATCATCACTTGAACACTTGGGCCAAATACAGGAAATATGTCAAGTGGCCAAGTGCAAAGATCGCAAGTGTGGGTATTTGGACAAGGCATTAGTTTGAAAGTGACTACTCTGTAAGCTGTTCTTCATACATTGTTAGAATCAACCGACATTTGTTCCAGCCTTGTGTCCACTTTCTTATCCGTGAAAATTCAAATGAAATGTCATTAATATGACCAGGCTTTCAACAATTAAAAAAATTCTAGATTAAAAAATAGATGCATGTTGTCTTGGAATTACATGACCATTTTATACTTAACTATTACCGGTACTCATAGAAAAATAACTGGTCTCACTAAAATAAGAGAATTGATGGCTTTCATTTTACCAATATACATTACGTCAGGGTGACAAATGTGATTATCTAAAGGAAAGATATGGTCATCTTAATAAAGACTCTTACTCTTTAAAAAGGCGGAGTAAGAAATATTTTTCTAAAAAAAGATTTGTTTGCATATGCACTCAGGTGTAATGTGGTGTTTTGGGGGTTGTTTCATGTTCATGTTTTCCATGTCTTTTATTTTGTAATTGTTTCATGGTCCCTGTTTGTGTCATGCTTCCCTTGCCCTCATGTATTCATGCCATTGGTTCCCCTGTTCATTGTGTCATGTTCTGATTGGTTGTCTTAGTCATGTGTCTTGTTTCCCATTGGTTTGTTCTTGTCATGTGACCCTCTTGTTTCCTATAAGTAGCTTCATGTTCCCATAGTCTTCGTCGTGTATTGAAGTTGTAACTCTGCTGTTGGTGAGTCTAGTCTGTTCATGCCAAGTCAAGTCTGTTCATGTCAAGTCAAGTCTCGGATTATGTTTGGATGTTTGGATCACTGTAAATAAAGCTGCACTTGGGTTCTCACTTCAACTCGCCTTCAGTGGATGATTCGTTACATCAGGATTGCAGCATTTGTTCTCTTGCAGTGAGATTCGCCAGAGACGAAAGCAGAGAGGGCTTGAAAAGTGTTTAGGTCAGCTGTGAGAAACACCAACTCAGCAGTCTACCGTCTCCTCCCATCACCTGTCACATTACAGGAAAGAGGAGCAGGACTCCCGAGTCATTACATGGATTTATAAACTGCTGTCAATCAAAGTGTCGGTCACTCCCTCCACTGTGGGGTTGAACGAGTTACTCACATCAACTCGTACTTGAGTGGCTCTACAACTTTTTAATTGCTTTAGGAGTGGAGATTGATTATTTTTGAAAAGCAATAGAAATTAATCATGAAATAGTGATGGGACTATTTTTTCAATATAATTTCATTTTATTTTTAAGACTATGTTGGTTTAATTTCAACACAATTCGTTTGAATTAATTGTGCAAACTTCACAAAGGGACAAATGCATTTAACAAAGCTATTTTTTAGTTAAAACACACTTCAAACAACACCAGTGAGAATGTGACGTGTTAAATTAAAATGTTACCAAACATTTGAAATGGTATTCATCAAATCTTTCCATCCTTTACACATTTGCACAACTGTTTTATACATCATTTGGCATGTTGTAAAGTGGGACGGTACACCAGCCAGCCTGGAATCAGTATAAATCACATTTAGTGAATCAAACAATGAGAAATGAGTCCAGTGGCAAGTTTAGATTTGTGATAGAAAAAGCTTCATATATTGAGTCAAATTATCCTTGCACATTGCAGCCTGACTTTGCTTCCACAATAAATCTGTGATATATGCCATGTAATCTGCCTGAGCTGCAAAATAACATTCAAAATGCATCGTTTACACAGCTCGACTACACATGCAGCTACATCAACAAAAATTAATGAAGAAAATCAAAAAAGCACTCCAATATGACAAGACAAGCGCTTTCATTTGTGGTATTCTGATTTAGACTGCTCGATTTAAGTAACTTTGGAGACTTGAAACTTGATTTGACAGCTGGCACAATGCCTGGTAAAAGTAGGCCACATTTACCTCTATCACAAGACAACTCAACCACAAGCAGTTGTGTCCATGCTTTGCTTTTTTTTTTCTTTTTTTTTATATTATTTATTTTTATATTAGTTTATTTAATAATGCAATAATAATAAAAAATGTACACATTAAAACTATACAATTAATACTTATTATAAAGTTGAAAAATACAAGTGTCATTCAAAATTTCTTATTAATTAATCTGCATTGTTTACATTTCAGTAATGTGTATATACTGCAAGTTTAAAACACCCTCTGCAGGCTCATCTCAGTAGTGTCTGAAAATGCAGGTAAAACTTGTGGAATTATGACTTTACAGGAACTGGTCAAGTTTGTAAGCTTTCACAATATTGTCCAAAAAGAAAACAAATAAATTCCATATTTTTAAAGACAGTTACTATAGATTGATTATGGGGAAGTAACACTTGCAATTTCCATCAACTCTATTTTAGTGTTTTTCTACAGGAGTTCTGCCTCCATTGCACTTCACTTGAGAAGATTAGTTTTTGTGAGTGTGTATGTGTGCATGTTTGTGAGGGAGCCACATAAAGGTAACTTAAGAGTGGTACGGTTCAATCTCCAATGCATGCACACAGCTATAAAAGGCTTTAAGAGCCAAGATTGCTGCACTGTGCTTTTTCTTTAACCCCTGATGGTTCTGAAAACAGACAGAAAGCATCCAGGACAACAAATATACTGATTGCATCATGTTCACAGAACAACCGGATCTATTAGATGCAAGCACAAATTTGTGAAGCCTCTGAGAAAAGTCCCATATCTAAGTTACACTGATAAAACATTTAGTGAGTGAGTGATGTGACATGTGGCCAAGTATGGTTACCCATACTAGGAATTAGTGCTCTGCATTTAACCCATCCTAAGTGCACACACACAGCAGTGAACACACACACACCGTGAACACACACCCGGAGCAGTGGGCAGCCCTTTATGCTGCGGCGCCCGGGGAGCAGTTGGGGGTTCGGTGCCTTGCTCAAGGGCTCCTCAGTCATGGTATTGAAGGTGGGAGAGAGCGCTGTACATTCACTCCCCCCACCTACAATCCCTGCCGGACCGGAGACTCGAACTCGCAACCTTTGGGTTATGAGTCCGACTCTCTAACCATTAGGCCACGACTTCCCCACGATTTATAAAAAGCATTTATATAAACTCAGATGTGATACTGTTTAAGACGGCGAAAAGTCACCATGATTAACAGCCTAATTAGTCTGACTTACGGCATCTAGTAAACTAAACCGGCAGATATCTGATCAAAGGGCTTTGATTAAAAGATTTTCTCAACTGACAGTTAATTGGGAGAGACGCCCGACTGCTGGGGAACTAATAGCAGAACTGCATCATCAGTCCCACGAGACTGAACTGAAGCCTCAGGCTGGCGTCGACCCTGCCCTGCAGGTAAAAATGACAAACATTAGCAGTAACGGAAGCAATGCTGGGATGTCACAAAATACCTCCAGTATCTGTCCTTTGGGAAAAATCTGAATGCTGAAGCCATTATTGCATGCTCACAAGGTTAACCGAGCTTACTCGGTGGCTGTCTGGGTATGAAACTACACAAAATGCACGCTTACATGCTCACCTGAGGGTTCGAGTGCATTTATTCACCTAAAACGCTCCTAAAACGGGCTTTAGGAAGTTTGATGCATCATGGCTATTTGTAGTCGTGCTCAAGACATCAGAAGCTGTTTGAAAAGAGCAAGACTAGTGGAAACTCATAGTTCAATATTGCAGATGTTCTTGCTATTTCAGTGCATTATTTATCGTGAGCAACTTTGCAAAAATGTTGTTCTGCTAGTAACTTTTAAACTGTATTCAGAGCTTCACATGAGCTAGGGAACCAAAAAACAAGGGGGTTTTAATTTACAGCCCAACTAGATTGTCCACCATGTTGGAATTTAAAACTGTATTGTTTTCTTTAGACCAATCACCACAAAAGACTAGATTTTTCGTTTCTGAGAACGTCATTATCACACCCAAATGAAACTGATAGTGAAAAAGCAAAACTGGAAGTGAGGCTGCAAATTGCCAAATGTTAAAACAAAACTCCTTTTGTTTTTTTTTGTCTTTTTGTTTAGTTTTTTGACTACAGATCCTTTCTCCTCCAATTACAGTCTCAAAGGTATCTGTTTTCCTCTTACTGCAGAGCCAGACAGCCAGTTCCTGTGCCAACATTGGATTAAGCATAACTAATAAGTCTCACTGGACTATTCCTTTCCATTGTCCATTGTAAGACTGTTAATGTTACGGTGTTCGATTTGGACTAGATGGGGATCCTTCTCTAAGATCTTTTCTAATGCACCATAACACATTCAGTAAGTAATTCTACATCCTAAAATCAGTAAGTACTTATAATTAGATCAAAAGCAAACTACAAATACATTGTACGTTTAATATTAAAAATAATAATAACAATTATTAAAATTATGAAAAATACAACAGAATAATAACCTAATATATGCTGTTTTGCTCAGGAAGCCACAGGAAACATAAATCTGTTCCTAAAGAATGGATTGAAGCATGATAAAACTAGGCAGAAAGGTTAGTGCAGAAGACCTCACGCACCTATGGTATACCCCCGCTTGAGCTCTCCACGTCGAGCACTACGAGCCTTTTGGATGTTAGTGGTATTGATCTCCTTTTCTTCACTTATGGCTGATCTGGCCACATTCTGTATGAGGGGCGACGCCAGCAGGTCTTTGACGAGAGAACCAGCATAACCCTCATCAGGGATGTCCACTGACTGGGACTTCTTCTTCAACCTAGAATAAAAAAAGGGGGGAATGCATTAACTTTAAAAGACAATTTCTGCAGTAAATCATTTTATTCTAATTTTGTAATTAAAAAATATTATAAATAAATCACATTTTTATTTATTTATTTGTTTATTTATTTATTTATTTATTCATGCATGCATCCTATTCAACAGTCTGGGGTTCTTAATTTTTTTAAGAAATTAATACTTTTTTCCGCTAGGATGCATTGCACTGAATGAATGAATGAATAAATAAATAAATAAATAAATGTAATTAATTAATAGAAAAATCAATTAAAATAAATCAGTAAATCAATAAAAATAAATAAATAGGAAACTGTATTGCCAGTTCCACAAATATTAAGCAGCACAACATTTGTCAAAATTCATATTAAGAAATGTTTCCTTTTTAAAATATAGCCTATTAAAATAGAAAACAATTGTTTTAATAATAATAATAATTATTATTATTATTATATTATTTTTAATTCAACATCTATTTTTTTAGTTATGTTTTAATGTCTCTATACAAACACAGCATCTAAAACAAACACAGCATCAAGCATTTTTGCTGAAACACCACACAAAATCAATACATATTGTATTCTGCTTAATTTGCAGAGTGCTTAAATGTACAGCACGGAGAAAGCATTTTTTTAGTGACTTTGTCCCTGACAGTTCTTTTGGAGATGCTGCAGTAAAGGAGGAAGCCGAAGACCAATGGCTACAGACAGCACTAATGATGGAGACAGACAGGCAGCCCTGTCCAGATGAACTGACCTAGATTCAGAGAGAACAGTCTGAAGACTCACACTCACTCATTCACCCGAGCAATGAGCTCAACGCATACAACTGCAGGACAATAAAAAGCATAATACTAAAGACGATTTTATAGGTCCTTTTAGGAATTAACCAACCTTGAGGTCTCCAACTCATGTTCGAGCTCAAAACTAATTCTGAGAACTTTGATATCAATATTGAGTAGCGTCATGGTAATGTCAATAAACACTGGCAAACTAAAGCAGGTTGCTAAAGGATATTGCTGTTGACATTGGTAAAGGGGACTTCATTCTCTCGGCTAAATCAGGTTTCATTCTCACGACTAGATCACCTGCTTTTATTGTCCTATAGGGAGACATTAAGATGCCATAAATCTGGGCTGAACTTATCAGCTAATGGACTCGCTCTCATTTACAACAGGCAATTGTCACGGTAAATGTGAAACTGCTCACCAGAAGCATTCTGTCAACAGCATTCAAGCTTTATCTAAGAGTTTATCAACAACACCCAGGTAGTTCATCTGCAGATCTGCCTACTGTAAACTGGTTGTGATTCGAGAACTACCGAAACCAACAAAAGAAACTAAACAGCTACCTTACATGAAAAAAGGATACTGAAAAAGTACACTGAAAGGATAGTTTCAGGGTTCCTATACAGTACATCTTTTCACCAATGGATTTCCATTACTTGTCCTGTCATTTGAGATTGAAACTAGATTTTTTTCACAATTTTATATCAATTGCATCCACTAAAAACTTGTGAGGTGCAGTCACTATTTTTTAAACTTCCTAACATTTCCCAGCTTATCCATGATCAAAAGAATGCTGTTACTTGTGAGACTAATGTAATTTCTGTTTTTGTTATTATTTTATTTATTTAACTATTTATCTATCACAAAGTAACAAATGTAAACAATCAATGAAAAACTGGTGTAGAATTAAAAAAAAATAATTGCAAAGAAACAGCAAGTAATTAAACAAAAATTCTGAAGTAGAAAAACTGAAATAGGCCTAGTATTTTCTTGTAAAACATACTCCAATAATCTTTGTTAAAGGGGTCATATGATGCTATTTTAAAGATCATTATTTTGTGTATTTGGTGTAACAGAATATGTTGACATGCTTTAATGTTCAAAAAACACATTATTTTTCAAATACTGTACATTATAAGTATAAGTTTAGCACAGATATATTTTCATTCGCCGAACACTGACCGAGCGCTTCAAAGTTTCTCTCTCCATCAAGCGATCTGTGCTATTTTTCAGTTCAACTCAATGGATGTGCAACGCACCTGTATTTGACATACCGTGAACTCTAGTGTAACGGCGCACGACTCGCCGTCGCTTTGGTGAGTGCAGAGAGAGCGAGAGAGTCTTACATACATGCAGAATTGACGCACTACATGTAAACGATGTTCTTTGTTGTATTTTCCTGTAAAAATAACGGCATTCCTTTGGAGTTCTTCAGCTTTTAAGAACTGCCGGGTTTTCCAGTAGTGGGCGGAGCTAATGCGCAAACGACAATCCCATTGGCTGGCGCTCACCTATTATCGTCCCAGTTTTGATTTCAGCAAATCAGTTCGAGCGAACGCACACAACCTGATTAATATTCATGAATCAAGCAGCTTATTAATCCTTAGTGCGTTTTATATTGTTCTTATTAGTAGAATTCGTATCATTATTATCTTATTATTTTTGTTAGTTTTTTCCCAATTTTTTTTTTACAGAAACACTGAATGACCAAAAAAGCACCACCACCAGCCCAGTTAAAATGACTACTATGCATTCAAACATGGTTTAAGTTTTAATTCTAATTACTAAAGTTATATCATTAAATAATACTTGATTATCATATTATAATGCTTGACTGACTGATGTTAAGAGTGTACTTTCAGATATTTAAAAAACTGTGCCATTTTACAAACATTATTTATATCTATCAGTCTGGCGAGTAAACTAAAAAATGTACTAGCCAATGGCGAGTACATTTTTTGAATGGCCTTCAAAACATCAAAAACACTACAGTCAAAAGAAAATCCACTGCAATACCTGCATACAAGCTTTCCATTTACCCTATGCATGAACCCACTGAAAGAATCTCCATTTAAATATGATTTATTGCCACAAATCACACAAAACCCTTGAACATTGTTACACATTAATGACACTAGGTTAAACAGAAAATTTCTAAATAATCATAAAACACATATTAAGGTCATTGAATAAAACAGTGTAGGTTGTAACTGATATCCAGTTTGAATGTTGGGTTCACTGGACAACTCATTTTCAAGTATTTGAAAATGCTTCAACAACAAAACAAGTCAAAGATCTTGCTTTAAAAAAATAACACAAGTGGCAAAAAGATTAATGCATTAAAACATGTCAAACTACCAGTTTTCATTCATAATATGTCTGCATCAGCATGGAACATGTTTAACGAAGGGAAAGCGAGCATTAATAGAGATTATGATAGATTTTAAGCTGCTCAAACTCCTGCTGACAAAAACTCCTTAAATATTACATAACAGCAGCAGGTGTTAGATCAATACCCTATGGGCGCCGATCTTATTAGACAGTAAAATATTAACTAACCTAAATCTGTGTATTACTATTCTGATTTATATATCACCTAAATGTATTGTTATATCTTCAGCCAAATGCAAGTAGAACTTAAGAGCCTATTAAGGCATATCAATATTTTTCCCACTCATAATTTGTCAGACTCACAAAGTAAGGTCTCTACATAGCAACATCCTCTCGCAATCACCAATGCAATACAATGTCAACAAAACACAACAGATGCAAAGCAGATGTAGGTCTTTGTAATTAAATTGTTAAATCCAGCAGTGAGCTTGTAATTGCACAGGCCTGATGATAATATGAGGAATATTAAATATTCACATTCTGTGCCTTCGTCGTACAGAGATTCTGACATCTAAGTTTGGAACTGGGTCACTGTTGAATATGTTGTACAAAAACAAACACTAACAAAAAGAAAAAAGACTACTGGTGAGATGTCTGTTTTCACAAGCCAGGACGGAAATGCAGAGTTGAATCTAAAATAGCAGAAGAAATAAATATTTCTGCAACAAATAAGATAACTTCACTGGAGCACTGCCATAAATAGAGAGATTGCAACCGAATGCAGCAAATTCATTTGCATGACTTGGCTTTCTGACTTGGCTTTACATGACTTTTTTCATGTGCAATGGGCAATTTTAGATACATATTTATCATGATTTGGCCTTAGCCTTCAACTTAAGGCCCGTTCACACCAAGGACGATAACTATAAAGATAATGATAAAGATAGAGTTCTAAAAATTGTTCTCAATATTAAAGAATAGCAGAGTCCACACCACAACTATAACGATAAAGGCACAGAGAAACGATATCGTTGGAATCATTTTCAGAACGAGTTTTTCCAGCTGATGAACGAATAACGATACAACATTGACAGCCAATCAGAATCCATCCTGCTATAACGAGCTCGAAAATTTAAAGCGGCAGACGAGCGTGTGCTTAGAATAAACAGATGATATCGTTCGCTGGTGTGGACGCTAATATCGTTATCTTTATAGCTATCGTTCTTGGTGTGAACGGGGCTTTAGCCTTTTTAATGAGGCTGTAGTACTGCTATAGTAAAGCAGTATTTGTTAAAGACATCCTGGACTCGTGACAAAAACGTACCTGGGGAAACTTTTTCGCGAGTCGTGAAATACGTACCAATAAGTACATATCACTGTAGTTTCCAACAGAAATGAACACTAAAGGTGGTAAAAAAGAGAGCACTTTTAATCATTTTCGTATGCAGTTATGATTACAGCTCCATATGTTTCGTTTTCCGGTGTTTTGACAAATAATGCTACCTATCAGATTATGCTACCAACACTGTATTTTTAATACAGTAAGGGTAGGTTTAGGGTTGGGGTAGGTGTACATGACAGGGTAGCACAAATGCACACAACACCAGCACGGAGTTGGACTTAAAATCGGAGTCCTTGGGTACGAATCCCGTGAAAAACATGACTCACGATGAAAGAGCTGAAAGATGACCACATTCGCTTTTGTTCATATACTAACGGGTAGGTTTAGGTGTAGTGCAGATGATACGTTATTTTAAAATGTCAAATAAATTACATTTTCTACCTATTAGATTGTTTTATTAACATGACACCTACCCCAAACCTAAACCTACCCCTTAAAATAATGCAAAAACAGTAATTATTGT